CGGCGGGTACAACTCTTAGAGTAAACTCCAAGGGGGCGCTCGCACAACCAGGTAAGGGTCATCAGGCTCAGGGGGGGGAGTAACAGCACGACATCGGGCTCAATGGAAACCATCAAACGGGCACCGCCAGCTGAAAGGGGAATGACACTCACACAAGGGAGCACGCATAAGGTGAGCCTGGCAGGAGAGAGGGCTATGCCGGCATAGACATGTGGCCCAAGAGCCGCGAGCAAAGAAAACGTACACTCCAGAGGAGGGCGCGCAGCATAAGGTAAGGCAGAAGGGCGGCAAACGGACACACCCACATAGACAGGGGAAATAGGGGTCATCATGCGACAAGAGGGTAAGGATACTGGGGGATGATGAGAACTTCGTAGCCGAAGAAGTGAAGCAGTCCAACTGATGAGTCTCCAGACTGAAGTCGAATCGAAGTAGCCAGGATGAAGTAGGAGTAATGCAGAAACCAAGTGGACGTCCGGAACAACGCGACATGTACTCTGGTACTGAGCAGAAGCACCGAGGTCGAAAGTCGAATGTAGAAGTCGAATGTAGAAGCCGAAACCGGGAGCTGCTGCGTAGTGTCCAGAAATGGTAAGAGATAGAGGGCGTATGGGGGGTAAGGTCAGTCACGATATCGAGAAGGAAGTCGATGGGTACGCTGAGGGCGAGAGGACTCAACTGCAACAACAGGCGGAACTACATCCACAGGGGAAGGAGGACCTGAGGAAGGTACCGGTGGAGCAGGAGGACCCATCGGTGGAGGCGGGGGGTTGTTAGTGGTCGATGAAGTAGATGGGTCAGTAGAAGGGCGAGAAGTGGGGGGGGATGATGATGAAGGGAAAGGGTGAGCACGGTCGTAAGCACGCACAAAAGTCATAGCATGCTTCAGGTGCTCAAGAGGCTCCCACGTAGACTCCTCGTCAGGGTAACCCTTCCATCGAACGAGATACTCGAGGCGGGGAGGATCACCATCAGTCATACGCCGAGACGCAATATCAGAGACAACAAACTCCTCGTGACCTTCAATGATGATGGGAGAAGGGCGAGGGTAAGGTCGACCGTGAAACTCAGGAGGAGACCGTCTGAAAGGGCGCAAAAGAGATACATGAAACACATCATGTAGGTTAGCGCGATACATGGAATCGGGGAGCTTCAATTTGAGGCTCACTGGACAGTCATGATTGGGTCCGGCGGGTGCGAGAATGGTACATGGTCCGATATATCGACGTCTGAATTTCCGAAGCGTGTCGGCTTCGGGCTGGAAGTGACGTGCGTCGACAAGGACCTCATCACCAACTTTGAAGGGATGGTCAATGCGTGAGCGGTTGGCGCGGGTCGCCATGCGAGTCTGGGAGTAAGCAACGCTCTCTCGAGCCTTGCTAAGCAGCGCATCCATCTCCTTTACCCACTCATCGAGAGCTGGGCATTTGGTGTCAGGGTGAATTTGGGATGGACGGAGGAGATCGGATGGGACATGGGGGTGATATCCCAGGTCACAGTAGTAGGGGGACATGCCGGTGGCGGGAGAGATAGCGTGGTTATAAGCGATCTCAGCATGAGCAAGATGAAGATCCCAATCAGAGTCATTCTCAACAAACTTCTTGAGGATAATCCCAAGAGTTTTGTTGGTGACCTCAGTCTGTCCATCTGACTGGGGGTGGTAGGAGGAGGAAAGGCGAAGCTCGGATCCATAAGTCTTATGAAGTCCACGCCAGAAATGAGAAGTGAAGTGGGGATCGCGATCAGAGACAATGCTAGTGAGGAGACCATGATGAGTGGCAATACGGTTAAAGTACAGAGTGGTGATGTCTTCGGCTGAACTAGCATACTTGCAGGGGAGGAAGTGAGCATGCTTAGTCAATCGGCAGACAACAACAAAGATGGCATCGTGGCCTCGCGGGGTAGGGGGACGAAGTGGGCCGATGAAGTCCATAGAGACGGAGGTCCAACGCTGGGTGGGAATGGGTAAGGGCTGAAGAAGGCCGTAGGGAGGGTGGTTGGGAATGCTGGCCTCCTGGCAGGTCCTGCAGGTGCGAACGTACTCTGTCGTGAAAGGACGGCGGTGCTCCCAGTAGTAATGTCGGTAGAGTCGGTCAAGGGTCTTGAGGATACCGAGATGACCGGCGGCACGYTGATCGTGACACTCAGCAACAGCTCGAACACGAAGCTGGCCGATAGATGGGACACATAAGCGGGGAGTACGGTTACCTTGGCGACCAAGCCAATATAGGAGTCCAGAGGGGTCGAGCTGGAAATTAGGGATAGTCTTGTCGGCCTGTAAGTCACCGTAGATGGACTGAAACTCGGAGCACTGGGGGTATGCCGACCGATACTCATCTAGGAAAGCGGGGTGCATGACGGGGAATGAAATGGCAGAGAGCTGGCGATCATCGCACTGAAGATCGGGGCGGCGAGACAAGGCATCAGCTACTCGATTGCTTTCCCCAGTAATCTTCTTGATGGTAAAGTCGAACTCTGCGAGATCACGCCACCAACGAGCTTGGCGAGGGGTTCAGCTTCGTCTGGAAAGCGGCGAGGACAGAGTTGTCCGTCAGGACAGTGAATGTGTGACCGTGTAAGTGATGACGCCACTTCTTAACAACGTAAACCAGCGCGAGGACCTCACGCTCGTCAGTAGTGTAGTTACGCTCAGCAGGAAGTAGCTGTCGAGATAGATAAGCAACTGGGCACTTTCCATCGCGAGACTCCACTGTGCCGTCATCAGCGATGTCAGGGGTGTAGGGAGGTGGAGCCCCTGAGGGGGTGGGCTCGATAGGTGCAAGTCGAGCCGCAGTCGCTGGGGGTGGGGGCGGAAAGCGAGGAATGCGAGGGAGACGAGACTCTGTGGGGTCGGGAGAAGTAGAAGGAGCTGGGTAAATCTGGGAGAGGACAGCTCCTATGGCAAAGTCGATCGCGTCGGTGGTGATGATGAATGGACGGGAGTAGTCGGGTAGGTGTAGGACAGGGGCTGACGTGACAAGTCGCTTCAGAGAGCGAAAGGCATCCTCATGAGCCGGGGTCCAATGGAAGGGTAGACGTCCGCGGGTCAGAGGAGTCAGCTGTGAAGAGTACTGCGCGTAGTTTTTAAGAAAATGACCGTAGTAGTTGGTCAACCCCAAGAAACTACGTAGCGCAGGAAGAGAAGTAGGTGTAGGCCAATCGACGATAGCCAAGATCTTCGAGTCGTCCATGTGGAGTCCATGCTCGGAGACCTGATGTCCTAGAAAGTCGACCTTGGATTGAGCGAAGGGGCATTTGGAGAGCTTCGCATAGAATCCGTGGTCGCGTAATCGCARGAGGACAGTGCGGAGGTGGGTCATATGCTCCTCTAAGGTACGACTGTAGATCAGGATGTCATCAATGTAGACTGGAACAAAGTCCTCGAGAAGGTCCTGGAACATCGTGTTCATAGCCATCTGGAAGGTGGCAGGACCGTTATGGAGGCCGAACGGCATGACAGTGAACTCGTAGTGTCCAAATCGAGAGCGAAACGCGGTCTTGTGCTGGTCCTCCTTGGCCACGCGAATCTGGTGGTATCCGCTGCGAAGATCAATCTTCGTGAAAAAGTGGTGGCCAGCGAGGCGGTCGAACAGGTCATCTGCGCGGGGCATGGGATAATTGTTTCTGACCGTATACTGGTTGAGGCCGCGGTAATCGAGACAGAGGCGGAGGACGCCGTCCTTCTTTCGATCGAAGAGGACTGGTGCGCTCCACGGTGACGTGCTCGGTTTAATGAAGCCCTGACGAAGCAGCTCGTCGATCTGGCGTTTAAGTTCCTGGGCTTCGGGGACCGAGAGGCGGTATGGGGCTCGATGCTGGACACGGTAGTTCGGTTCGAGCTGGATGCGGTGCTCGATGTCACGCATAGGAGGAATGCTACTATAGGAGACAGATGAAGGAAAGACATCGCGATACTCGCAAAGGAGAGTAGCGACGCTTGGCTGCAAGGTCGCTAGGAGGTCATCAAATTCCTTAGCAGCAGCAKCGTCTGAAGCAGGAGTGGAAGGAGTCGGCGTAGGGATAGGTGCGGATGGTGTCTCCCTGTCAAACGACGCGACAAAGTGTGATGAGCACGTGGAAATGGAAGGAGCCGACGAATCAGGAGGATCTAGAGGCTCGGGGGGTGGTGGATCGAGCTCGACCAACTCCACGTCCTGATGCATGGAGTTGCAGGTAAGAAGGTCCGTGATGTCGACAATGTAAAGTTCGGCATCCGGCTGGCGAAGAATGTGGTTAAAGTGAGTAGGTGTCAGAATGGAGACATTAACAGGGGGAGGAGGTGTAGGGTCCGATTTGCCCAACAACGGAATACRATACMCTTGATCRTCCTTGGTGTAGAGGACGAGGTCGTTGTGGACCCAATCGGGGCTAGAATGAGCAAATTTATGTGAGTAGGCAGTGCCGAAAATAAKGTCATACATGGTTTCCATGACGTCGAAAGTCCACTGGTCATGGAACCGGGGGGCCTTGCGAAGGCTACGGGGCATCCGCAAGGGAAAGGAAAATGRAAGATCAGGCACCACAGAATCAACGAAGGATTTGGCCTGGTTGTCGCCAAGGGTGACAGTGACAGTGGAGGGGTAGGAAGATGTGTAGAGGGATGCCTCCTTGACTACGCGAGGATGGATGAAGTCGCCAGTAGAGCCAGAGTCCCATAATGCGCGATAGACTCTAGTAGAGGTCCCGAGGCGCACAGGAATAATCGGTAAAGTGCGATCGGGATTGTGTAAGCGCTGGGAGATCGCGGCGAGGGTGTGCTCTTTAAGGCGGAGACGTTCCTGGCGGACCTTAACACACTCAAGGTCCAGGAAGTCGATGATATCCTCTGCTGCAATAAGGGAGGCACTGCAGCGGGCCGTGCGAAGGGCACGCCTAGTAGGGGGACGAGGAGGAGGAGAGGGGTCATGAGAGACGCTAGGCGAAGGCGTGGGAGGTGGGTCGGCAACACTAGGGTCGACCGACAAGGAAGTCGAGTCCGAGTCCTCCGAGAGAGTAGTAAGTGGCGAGAAGGTGGACTCGCGGGCGGGAATGCCTGCTACTGTGGGAGGATCAGGGGAATGAGACATTGTGGCTAAGTGGCTGCTGTGCTGGAGGTCGAGGCGGGGGGGACAKCCTGAGGGCGAGCCTGTTGTGCAAAATGGCTCTGGAGGGCGTCCGCATACGGGCAGGTAGAGGGGGTGTGACCGGCGAGACGGCAACGGGTGCAGATGCCTCGTGCGCGAAGCTCCTCACTCTCCGTGATAGTCAAACGGCCGCGGGGGAACACAAAGCCCGYTGGTAGAGGCAACTGGGCGACCGTGGACCGAGTCCTGGATGATGAGGGCTGTCGCCGGAAGAGAGCGGAAAGGGCCCGAAGAAAGCGATCGTCCTGGGAATGGGTGTCGGCCTCCGTGGGCGACTGAGGGTCAGACCCCTGGTCTGGGTCACTCGCCGAACCGTTCGAGGTTGTGCCCTCCTCTGCACTCGACGGGTCACGGAGCAGTGCGTGGAATCGGCATGCGAGCGATCGGCCGGCACCTCTGCGGGGACCACGACGGAAAGTGGAAGACTGTCGAGGCTGGGGGGGGCGAGGTGTTGCAGCAGCAGCAGCATAGGTGGCGGGAGGCTGAGGCGAAGAGCCAACAAGTGGGGCATAAGATAGATGGATGGCCCGAGCAATGTTGAAGGCCTCTGGTAACGTAGAGATGGAGTAGGCCATCATCTGCAGCTGGAATGSCTGGGGGAGGCCTGCRCGGAATCGCTGGATCATGGGATCCTCTGGTATGGTGGTGACGGGGATCTGGKCGCGGMCMCGGTGGAATGCCGTGATATATGACTCGAGGGCATTGTCGCTACCAAGCCATCTGATCTCGGCCACCCGGGAAATCGGGTCGCGGGTCGGCGCAGGACGAGAAAAGTACTGCTGCAGGAAATCGCGGAACTCCTGATAGCTCATGCCCTCCTGTACACCCCGCTGGGATCGAAGAGCGAGGAAGTCACGCCAAGTAGAGGCTGCGCGACCTATGAAACGGGATGACATCTCGACGGGCCACAGTTCCATGGCGACGCCATGGTAGCGGAGCTGCTCCTCGGAAGTAGTGATCCATCCTTGGAGCTYRGAGGCCTTGCCGTCAAACTGTGGAAGGCGATCCGGTCAAAACTGTGGAACATATGTCGGTGGYTGATAGTGAGGAGGGAGGGGGAGAGCCGATTGTGACAAGAGGACAGAAGAAGTGGTAGCACCAGCCTGAGCACTAGAAGGAGCGGGAAGCTGGGGCAAAGGTCCCTGACACATCGTGGCGGCCGATGGTGGGAGGGTGAAATGCATCGCCGCAGCCTGTGTCTGATGCTGTCGATAGATGAAAGGGGCAACGGGCTGTGTCGCGAGGTGGGGAGGCAGGGGTTGACCTCCTTGGAGTTGGCGGATGTGATCATGGGCCAGGGTGAGCTGGCGTTGGAGCTCGGCATTCTGTGTCCTGGGTG